ACATTAAACATTCACCTGTCCTGACTCAACAGCATCAATCAACGCGTCCGTATCACGCTGTCTGATTGCATCAATGAGATGTCGATGAGATCGCTCGAAAGCGTTACCTGCTGAAAATCATTGCTAGCTGAGTATCATATTAAAACTAATCAAAATGAATGACTCTCATCAAAAACAGATAAAAACCTACCATTCTCAGATCTCGACACGACCGTCGAGCATGCAGTGGTTCGGGGCAGAGCGTTACGACCTTCGCACAATAAAACCACCAAAAGATCACACAGTCGTAACGTGTCCATCACACAACGTTCGTCTTTGTTCGTTAACACAGCTCGAAGCGCTGGCACCAGCAAAGGTGAACTGAATATTCACTCCTATTATCATCCGTCAAAATAATTTGCAATTACATCCAAAAGAATCCAATTACATGCAGTTTATCTCCGTGATGAATCAGCTGCCTTTGTTTAGCAAACATCCTACCTGATCAATTGCTGAGTGACTGCAGACGATCCACGACAGAGATTGCTCAGCAGAGAGATGACAATCGACGTGAATGAAGTCGATCGATGTGTTTGTGACTGCGATTGTGTTGGTGTCGATGAGGATGCGTTCGAATCCGCTGAGAGTATGGACGCTTGTGAGGCCACAGTGTTCAGATTCTGCTGCGCACCGCTCAGCGACACTGTCGACGAGACCGATGGCAGTGGTACTAAGGCTTTTAGTAAATGATTTACTAAGTCACCGTGACGTACCATTTCGACGGGATCCAATCCTTTGCGAATGAAACGATCCGTCAGTGCGGCAAAACATCGAAGCGCACATTCTGATACCTGAATTATGCATACTTTCATGAGCAAGAACACAACTCTGCAAATAATCAAACCTTTGGATCGTCGTGTGCAAGCAGTGTACCAAGACTGGCACTGCACTCAGGCATTGTCGAATCGGCTGGTTCCATTTTACTGCAAAGTCTTGTCACTACTGACATCGCTGAATGCATTGTATCCTGCAATAATCTTCATTATCATTACCACTGAGATCAATTAAAATATTACTTAATACATCAACTGATTATATCAATATATCAAAATTACCAATATATCAAAATATATCAATGTGTCAAAATTATATTAATACAAATTACTTAAACAATAAAGAATTATGGGAGAGGGCAACAAGGTTTCCAGAAGCGAAAGCGAGCGATTAATATTTCCTCGCAGAATTAACACTAAAAATGCAGGTGATCAACTCAATCTGATTGCAACTGATGTGATATTTCGACACAACCTTCCGAAAAAGCTTTCATTCATTTTCACTCAAAACTAGTCAATTATCAACGCAATAAAATGTCAAACCTTATGAACGGACTGTCCATGCTGTATAACAAGTGACAGCATACACTGTAAACCACCTGCATCGTAAACGGCCGAAGTCTCTCGCTGACAAATGTGCTCCAATAACTTTACGCACTGTTCAGCTAAACAAATCGTCTTATCAATAGAAATTACTTCCTTAAGTAGTTACAGTAATTAAGCTAAGTAAAGTAATGATGCACAAACCAAGATCTTTGCTTGTTCGATTGCCCATTTCGGCAGCAGCTAATCGATTGCAGATTGCTTTAACAGCGCCATCGACTTGTGTTATGCGACGAGTACATTCATTTGATACATCCAAATAATAGGTTATTGCTCGAGCTGTCACCTAAAAATAAATAACACATCACTTCTATTATAACAAAACCATACGTAGGTCAGTTGCTTTCGTGCAAAAATTTTGGCTTATGCAGAGAATCGCATTA